TATATAGGCTACACTAATGTGACTTTTAGGTGGTTCTTTTAACTATTATACATGATGTACATTTTTTGGGGTGGTTAATGAAAGTGTTCCAAAATACAACATTAATTTCTTGATAACCTAATATAAAGAAAGACAAAAATTAAATAGTCAATATAGTGGAAAACTAAGAATTTGTAGAGTCAAATAAACATATTTAATCACAAAGATATTTAACTTAAGTAATGATCAACCCGTAAACAGAACCACAAGTAAACCCAGAAATAACACACTTATTAAGCCTAATCAAACAAGATATTTAACCTAATTATCAATTAACTCGGAAGTATAACTACAGTTAAGTTGAAAATAACAAACACTTGTGAAGCCTAGTTGAACAGTACAGAACAAAGGATATTACTAAGCACTAAAATAAAAACTTAACTGAATAATAAGTATGTACAATATTAGAAGTTTGTGTGGATCCCATCTCAAGGTTTCCATACAAACCGAGTGAACAGAAAGAAGGATAAAAGATAATTAATGATGAAAATTAAATATAAATGATTGTATAAATTAAGGAAGTGTGTTGTAACAATAACATTTGTATGAGACGTTATGTATGGAAGAAAAAATAATATACTTAAACTAATGACTGATATACCAGTAAAATGAATTACAGGTAATCCTTAAATAACAATGACCATGGTAAGCCAAAGCGAATGGTATAGGAGAAAAGATACAATTAAGACTCATTGCTAACCTAAACTTGACTATGAGTATTAACCAATCTAATAAAACTTATGTCATGGAACCCAAATAACTACAAATAATAATATTAACCATAAAATTATTCAAAAACCATAACAGTAGAACGTCTTATCTTTCCAAAGTCGGCAAACTGTATCTCAAATGTGTGAGCCCCCAAACTCGAGGCAAGGCCTGATGAAAGTCAGGTCATTGGACGAACAATCTCCTGACAAAATAAAGCTGAAAATCTTCCCACAGAGTACTGTGACCTGAAGCCTGTGTAAATGTGCTAACAAAACATATAACCCCCAAAGCAGTAACATAGAATTCATAATGGAAAATGAATAACCAAACACAACTATGTTGACAGAAATAAATAAAAAGTATTTGTAATGGAGTTATAAGTTCCATAACCAGGTAGAAATATATAATAATTCCATATTGGAATAACTCAACAAGTTACAAATATCACTATTGTATACTAAAAGAGTAAACTTGTTGAAAGAAATTATTACAAAGATACAGTAAAATATTAAAAAAAAACACTGAAGATAGCACAAACTAAATGTTATAACATGAGTACTGCCAAAGGAGAAGTGATAGTTTGGTAGAACCGAGTCACATGAATCAAGAGTGTGTGTCATGCTCTTATTGGTGGAGGTTTTTGTCGCATGATAATTTGCATGCGAGACACTTTGGAATTAGTCAATTCCAGAAGAGTGGGCATTTCAAGGTTTGTGGCATGCATAAAAAAAATTGCATATAGAGGGCAGCACTGAAGAATAATAGATATTTATGTGAGTGGAGGTAATGTAACATATCGGAAATAAAACACTTTAACATGTACTTAAAATGAGTTTTGATATATTTGAAATGAAAACATGGCACACAAGATTCATCAGGTAACCTGTGAATAATGAAATACAATGATTTTGCTCAAAATTTAATGTTTGAAATGACCAGGGTATGTGACATGCTACAAGTGAAAAATAAAGAAGATTAACACATATGAATATAATCAACTTTTTCTGAGTTGGGTGTTTAAATTAATATAAATGAAAATAAATATGAAAATATTCAAATATTTTGCAAGTTAAACTTCACTAACAGTTGTGGTTTATGCTGTAAATACAGAAAAAATAATAAATTATCATTATTAAAACTAAAATTGATAAACATAAAACATGAAAAAAGAAATTAAAAACAGATATAGAAAAATATAATAACTAGTAGTTAATAGCTTATTACCCCAGAGGTACTCCCCATGAAAAGAAAATCTTCATGCATTAAAGAACATGTAACAAGAATAAAACAAAGTCATACACATAAAAACACTTGTACCTGATTATGACAAAACCTTGTCGAAATGTTGTACATTTGCTGTTATGTTAAACTTATATTAAAGTTTTTCTTCATTACCCATTCAAGCCGTCTCCAGCCATTATTAAATTCAATTATTGTATCATCTTCACAGTATATCATTTCACTTCATCATGCTCGCATAGATTTCAAACCTTAACTTCCATATTCCAATCCTTTTTGAACTTGTATTACTTTTTTGCTTTGTTTACTATTGTTAAGATGATTTCTGTTCAAAACTAGCTCAAACACAAAACTATACATTTGGTAATATGGAAAATTATGAGCACTTTTTTTTAGTATTTCAAGTACTAGATTCTTTCTGTAAAAAGTCAGATTTTCAAACAGAATCATTATCTAGGAGTGGTCAAAATTTGCTACGCCTTCTTTTTATGATCAATATGTCTGCATATGCAAAATATTTTTTCTACACAACAGATGCCCTCTCCTGACAAAATGTAAACAATCCACCATTTTGTTTCTCTTAACCTCTATGACCTGATAACTGAAATTGGTGTGTAAAAAAAAAAGGTCCATTTTCTCTCTCTCTCTCTCTATATATATATATCAAGGACCAAGATATTACATTCCAGAATTCCCGAGGAATCTAACTTTCCTTAGGGAATTTAATTTTTTTAAATGGCTTTCCAGATTGGGAATGCATCCATATTCCTTTAGTTATGACCAATGAAAGTGAGCATATTGCATGGATTAAATAAAAAAAACAATTCATGAGGAAATACATCTTTACATGATGGAATGTAATCTTCCCAATAGTTTTTGCTCAAGTGAATGTAAGTTTATTTCATTATTTCTATCCATGTATACATAAAACACGAACATACAAAATTTGTGGAATTTTACTTATGACATACACAGTGAAAACATTGTAAACATTATGAAAGAAATAAGTTCCATTAGCATATACGCATTTGGTATGATATTTTAGTATGTCCTCTCCCCCAAAAAATACAAAAATTCCTTATGATGAATAATAACTTACAATCAAACATCACTGCACAACTTTTTAGGTTTACATACTACCTAACCCAAAAATACTCTTCACAAATTCTTGCTAAAGAAGAATAATTTGTAACTTTCAAATAAAAACAAGCAACAGTACTCCAGAATCAGCAGCAAGAAAAATGTTACCAGAATCTACAAAATAATTCCCAGGTCTTTAATTATTGGGAACAATTTCTAAAACTTTCAAGAGTGGTACTATGAGGCTTCTTCTTCAAAAACTCATAAAAAGAAAAAAAAAAAGTCACATGGAGTAATTAACAAGTTGTTTACATCATTTTGAAGGGTATCTTTTCATCATTAAAGATAAGATATTTTACTAATTATCAATTTCCTCCATAGTAAGTATATATACATATGTTTCAGTTCAATAAAATCATAGCTCAGCTTATACTGCCTCTAGAAACTTGATATATGTATTTTCTTTTTTAATTCTACAGTTTACTTATATATATATATACACACACACACACACACACACACACCGAGTGGT